CCCCAAACCAGGTAATTACCATGCAGGGAGATAGTGGCTGTGCCACGGAAGGTCCTGGGGAGGCAGCTAACCTGGTCATGGCAGGAGACTGTGGCTCTTCAACCACTACTGAACACTGCCCAGCACATGCTGGGGCTGAGACATGCGCTGACTGAATGACAGAGCAGGGACTGACCTGAGTCTGGTCAGCATGTCAAGGTCCAGCTCGGGCCTTGCACACCTTCAGAACACCTCCTTATACCACCCTGTTACCATAGCTACGGTACCCTTGTCATCCCGACCTGGCTCCTCCAGGGCAGGAACCTGTATGTGGTACTGCTGCACACCCAGCACTAGCACGCACCAGCCCCCAGCACACCAACCACTGTTACGCAGACTTCACCTTCTAGTGCCTCTGTGACACACAACTGCAGAGTCACATTCCTCTGAGTCCTCACGCTCCGGTGGTTTCACCATCTGAGGTGCCAGGGCATTAAGTGGTCTCTGCCTGTCGGGGGGGGCACTGGCAGCACTGAGGGACAGCTGAGCAGAGATTCAAAGTGCTGCAGAGCACATATAAATCAGGTTGTCCAGAGAGGGCTGCTCTCCTCCAAAAAGGAATCTATATTGGTGCTTTCATTTAAGCAACCAGCAAACATGTATTCATGCCCACTGGCTGCCAGGACATGAGTTAAGGTCTAACCTCTACTATCTGGTCTCTACTCTCTTGAAAGGGTCCAATGTCAAACAAGGCAGTAGAGCAGAAGGCAAAAAGAGTGCATGAGGCTGGGCAAGGTGGTTAACGCCTGCAATCCCAGCACTTTGGGAGGCCGAGGTGGGTGGATCTCTTGAGGTCAGGAGTTCGAGACCAGTCTGGCCAACATGGTGAAACCCCATCTCTACAGAAAAAATACAAAAACTGGGCCGGGCGCGGTGGCTCACACCTGTAATCCCAGCACTTTGGGAGGCTGAGGTGGGCAGATCATGAGGTCAGGAGATCAAGACCATCCTGGCTAACACGGTGAAACCCGTTTCTACTATAAATACAAAAAATTAGCCAGGCGTGTTAGTGGGTGCCTGTAGTCCCAGCTATTCAGGAGGCTGAGGCAGGAGAATGGCGTGAACCCGGAAGGCAGAGGTTACAGTGAGCCGAGATCATGCCACTGCACTCCAGCTTAGGTGACAAAGTGAGACTCCCTGTCAAAACAAAAACAAAAAGAAAAACAAAAACAAAAACAAAAAACCAACACACACACACACACACACACACAAAACTAGCCAGGTGTGGCGGCACACACCCTGTAATCCCAGCTACTTGGGAGGCCAAGGCATGAGAATTGCTTGAACCCGGGAGGTGGAGGTTGCAGTGGGCTGAGATCGCACCACTCCGCTCTAGCCTGGGTGACAGAGCAAGACTGTCTCAAAAAAAGGAAAAAGTCCATGTGAATTTGAGAGACTGATTTCCTGTGTGACCCAGAGTAAGTCCCTTCCCTCTCTGGGCTTCAGTTTTTTTTTTTTTTTTTTTTTTTTTTTGAGACAGGTTTTCACTCTATCACCCAAGGTAGAGTGCAGTGGCACAATCATGGCTCACTGCTACCTCCACCTCCCAGGCCCAAGCGATCCTCCCATCTCAACCTCTTGAGTAGCTGGGACTACAGGCACACATCACCATACATGGCTAATTACTTTATTTTAGTTTTTGTAGAGACAAGGTTTCATTATGTTGTGCAGGCTAGACTCAAACTCCTGAACTCAAGCAATCCACCTGCCTTGGCCTCCCAAAGTGCTGGGATTACAGGTGTGAGCCACCGTGGCAGCCTGAGTTTCTATTCTATAAAATAAGGGAGTTGAACAGGTGATGGGAGAGATCTTCAGGCACTGGGATGGTGCCCCAAAGACAAAGAGTCAGGGGCAAACCACAGAGGCTCAAAGCCTGATCCATCCCTGTAACATTTTAAGGCAGCCAGGCCTCTGAGTCACCTCCATGTGGAGAGGATACTGCTTCCTGGGGGCTCAGCCCACAACTGGTATGCAGAAATACCGTTAGAGAGGTGGACCTGGAATTCACTGAATTATTGATGAGGCTGGGATTACAGGTGCACACCACCACACCCAGCTAATTTTTGTAGTTTTAGTAGAGACAGGGTTTCACCATGTTGGTCAGGCTGGTCTCGAACTCCTGACCTTGTGATCCACCCACCTGGGCCTCCCAAAGTGCTGGGATTATAGGCGTGAGTCACTGCTCCTGGCCTGAGAATTTTTTCAAATGTGTGTCCACTACTGACCAGAGGTGCTCCTTAAACTCTAGCTCTGCCAGCCATTCCCTCCTTAAGGTTCTTTCCCTGTCTCCGCAGCTGTGGGGCAGTAGGACCAAATGGGGTTCCCCAGCCTTGTGTGACCCTGTGTCTCCACCAGCTTTCAGAGCCTCACATTCCTTACCTGTCCTGGGAGGAGGCTAGCCTCACCTCCTCCATCTCTCTCTTTCTCTCTCTCTCCCCCTCTACCCTGTGGCTGGAGATGCCATATGTAAAGACAGGTGTTCCTGACAGGTTTGTGTTGGACACGCAACTGAAGTGGAGGCTGAGGAAAGAGCAAGAACCATGGAACCAGGCAATCCCCAGGGGCCCTTCCTGGCTCTACCTTCCGTGCTTCAATGACCAGGTAGGTGGCTCTGAGTCCTCAGGCGAGGACCCTTCCCTCTGTGTAAACCGGAGGGATTGTGCTTGGAGACATCCACAGGCCCAGTGAGCCCTGAAAATTTGAACTGGTCCCTGCCCTTCTATTAGGAGCACTTCCTGATGACAGGGTGAAATTGTCCCATCCCGTTCCCCAGGGCTTAACCTTTCCTCTTAGAATTCTCCCTATTCTACATGCTTTTCTTCAACTCAAGTTTAAAAAAAAACAAAAAACCTGAGATGTCCCAGGCATGATGAGACACTGGGTGGGGGAGGGGAGGACGGTGCCCAGAGATGAGTAATCGCCCTAAAGGAGTTGATGGCGTGGCAAGGAGGGCATTCCCAGGAAGGGCTGTCACGGATGCAGAAAGGGTGAGAGATTAATTGGGCCTGAGAAGGACTCTGGAATGCTTCTTGGAGGAAGTGATGTCTGAGTGAAAGATAGGAACTGACAGGTGGGAGATGGGGTAGGAAAGGGCCACCCAGGCCAGGAACAGCAAAAGCACAGGGCACCTTTGGGAGCCAGCCCTCCCAGTGCTCCCTCCTGTTTCCACACATGCTCCTGGCTGTTAAGGGAGGGTGTGTGTGAGGAAGATCGGGGCTGGAAAAAAGGTTGGATGCCAGGACGGAAGCCTGGAATACCTTGAATACCATACTGGGAAGCTGGGCCTTTATTTTGTAGGCAAGGAAGGAGGCTGGAGAGGGAAGGATGCAATCAGAAGGTGTAGAGCAATGGAGTCACAGGAGCAGATGTGTTTTAATCAATTCATCCAATAAATATTTTAGGGACTCCAGACACTGTGCATCTAAAAATGCTTAAAAAAAAATTCCCCAGCACTTTGGTGGCCATATGGGGAGAATGAACTGGGGGGCTGGGGGTGGGGTACATGCCTGGAGCAGGGAGGGAGTTGGGCCAGAAACTCAGGTGGCTGAGCTAGAACTAAAGCCTCTGAAGTCTCAAATTTGTCAAGACCCATTTCCTGCCTCCAGGAATCTCCTGCTGCCTGCCCTGCTCACAATGGTTTTAGAGGGTGGTCCCTGATCCTTCTCGTGGGAGTGTCCCAGGCCCTGCTCTACACAGTGATGCTCATGTGGAGGATTTTTAAAAAAATTTTTTATTTATTTTTTTTGAGACGGAGTCTTGCTCTGTTGCCCAGACTGGAGTACAGTGGTGTGATTGTGGTTCACTGAAACCTCCGGCTCCCAGGTTCAAGCAATTCTCCTGCCTCAGCCTCCCACGTAGCTGGGATTACAGGCACACACCACCACACCTGGCTAACTTTTGTGTTTTTAGTAGAGAGGGGGTTTCACCATGTTGGCCAGGCTGGTCTCGAACTCCTGGCTTCAAGTGATCTGCCCGCCTCGGCCTCCAAAAGTGCTGGAATTACAGGCGTCAGCCACTGTGCCCAGCCCATGTGGAGGTTTTTTTTTTTTTTTTTTTTTTTTTTGAGACGGAGTTTTTGCTCTTGTCATCCAGGCTGGAGTGCAGTGGTGCGATCTTGGCTCACTGCAACCTCTGCCTCCCGGGCTCAAGCAGTTCTCCTGCCTCAGCCTCCCGAGTAGCTGGCACTACAGGCACCTGCCACCATGCCCGGCTAATTTTCGTATTTTTAGTAGAGACGAAGTTTCACCACGTTGGCCAGGCTGGTCTCGAACTCCCCACCTCAGGTGATCCTCCCGCCTCGGCTTCCCAAAGTGCTGAGATTACAGGTGTGAGCCACTGCGCCCGGCAAGGAGGTTTTAAACAAACACCTGTAAAAGGCTGCAAGCCCTGTGGGGGCAGGGCACTGCCTGTCTTGCTCAGTGATACCCTCAGAACGGGATACAATGCCTGGCCCCAAACAGGTCACTAGCTCATGTGTGTGAACACAGAATTCATCTACTTCCCCCAGCCTTCCAGCACAAACGCAGTGCCCTATGGCAGCAAAGGTTATGCTGACAAAGATGGCACAACTGCCAGGGGAAAAATCATGACATATTACAGTCACGAGAAAATATTTTTCATATTTGCAGTGGGGGAGAGGATTGGTGTGCATAACTGTGATGACAGGGTTTCTAGCTGAGCCAGGTCATTTTGTCCTTGGGTTCCCCAGGGAGGACTCGGCCCAATTGCTAAAGCAAAGAACTAGGTGCTATCACAAAGCCTCCCCCAAGGCCCCAAATCCACACTAGAATACAAGCTCCTTCCTAGGAGGGGCACAGGCGAGGGAGGGCCGGCTCTGTGGTCCTGGGCGAAGGTACAAGAGGCGAGGGTTGGAGGTGTGTGACTCACACAGGCTGGTCAGAGGCCCCAGAGTTCAGCCTCTGCGGGGTATTTACCTACCCATCACCAGCCACTGACTACGTGCTCACTGTGTACCAGGGACCTGGCCAAGGGTTTCACGTGTAATCTCGTTTAATTCTCACAAGAGACGCAGAGAGGTGACGTGACTCATCAGGTGACATGACTCACCAGGTCACCTGGCTGGTAAGGGATGGAACTGGGTTGTGCATAGAGGCCTATCTGTGTCCACAGGCAGGCTCCCAGCCACCACCCTCCAGTTCCGTGGCCCTGCTCTGGGACGTGGGAAGATAAGAAAGAAGGAGGGTGAGTCGGCATGGTTGTGGAGAGATTACGTTTTCAGGAAATGAGGGCTCAGAACAAGGCCTGGCCTAAACATGGCTGCAGGAGTGGCAAGAGATAGGATCAGAGGGAGGATGGCCTCAGAGAGTGTGGGGAAGAACTTGTGCCCAGAAGAGTCAGGGCAGGACTGGCTGGGCCCTGACGTAAGGCCTCTTGCTCAGAGTCACAGGCAAGATCAAGTGACCTCTCGAGGTTTCAAGACACGAAGAGACAAAGCCCAGAGCAGCTGGGGCCTGGCCCAGGCCCGGGCATGCCTGCTGACCCCGGCTGGATGGTGGCCTTGGAAACTGCTTCCTGCTCCGGTCAGGCCCCAGCTGGAGTAACCTTGGAGGACCTGTGACATTTCTCTTGGCCTCAGGTCAGGCCTGAGAGGGAGTAGGGAGGGGAGAGGGACTCCAGATTCCTGAACACCTTGGAGGGCCCTTCGTACCCTCCCACCCCTGTCCCCAGTGTCTGACAGGGTCGATCTTTAGCCCACAGGGCCCAACGTGGAGCCAGTCTGTCTGGCTCTACTTTCCATCTAGAGGCCTGGAGAAGATGTCTGCACAGGCCCAAGGCCCCCTCCTTGCTTGACCCGTTCTGTTCCCTGTCCCATCAGCCACAGCTCTCAGATCAGTCGGGCCCCACATTCCCCATTCTGTCTCCTCGGAGCTTTTATCTTTTTTTTTTTTTTTTTTGAGACGGAGTCTCGCTCTGTCACCCAGGCTGGAGTGCAGTGGCCGGATCTCAGCTCACTGCAAGCTCCGCCTCCCGGGTTCACGCCATTCTCCTGCCTCAGCCTCCCGAGTAGCTGGGACTACAGGCGCCCGCCACCTCGCCCGGCTAGTTTTCTGTATTTTTTAGTAGAGACGGAGTTTCACCGTGTTAACCAGGATGGTCTTGATCTCCCGACCTCGTGATCCGCCCGTCTCGGCCTCCAAAGTGCTGGGATTACAGGCTTGAGCCACCGCGCCCGGCCAGAGCTTTTATCTTCTAATTCACATTGGGATGTGACCTGCCTTTGCCCACAGCTCCCTCTGCCCAGAATGCCCTTCTCACGGTCTCCATGTGTCCAAACCTTGCCTATTCTTCAAGGTTGAGCTCAAGTGCAGCTTCTTCCACAGAACCTCAAAATCCATTTAAGATATCAGAACCAGCAAGAGCTGTGGGGACTGGGCCAGGCGCAGTGGCTCATACCTATAATCCCAGCACTTTGGGAGGCTGAGGCAGGTGGATCACGAGGTCAGGAGTTCGAGACCAGCCTGACCAACATGGTGAAACCCCGTCTCTACTAAATATACAAACAAATTAGCTGGGCGCGGGGCACACCCCCATAATCCCAGCTACAGGAGGCTGAGGCAGGAGGATCGCTTGAACCCAGGAGGCAGAGGTTGCAGTGAGCTGAGATCGTGCCACTGCATTCCAGCCTGAGCGATACAGTGAGACTCCATCTCAAATAAATAAATAAATACATAAGTTGTAGGGATTGTTCAATCTAATCTGTCCTTTTGCAGATGGGGAATCAGGCATGGGGAGATGACAGGCAGCCATACGGCAGAGTACCCAGGCTCAGGAGGGACAGCACTGGGTTCTAATCTTGGGTCCACTATTTGCTAATGGATCCCCTGGGCAAGGTTCAGAGCTGCACCCATTTCCTCAACTCTCTCTAATGTGGGATAGGGCGGGAGGCAGGGGGTTGTGGTGGGGACACACACCCCACCTCATAGTCTGCTGTGAAAGGTCAGGGAGGCAGCGTTACATAAACAGCCCAGCACAAGTGTCCCTTTTCTCATCAAGGGAGCAGAGGGCTGACTTCTGACTACAACACCCAGCTGCCCAGTGCAAATCTTTGTTTCTCACTGCCTCTGGGCACCTGCCACTCTCTACCAGGTGTTTTCAGGTTCTTTGTGTACTTGTTTTAGTTTCCTGGGGTGGAGGCTGAACTGGAGGACAGGGGCCATGTCTGCTTTGTCTCCCCAGTACCCAGTACTGGATGGACACACAGGTGCTCAAGTTGGGCAACTAAGCTCAATTACTGCTTCTCCAGGGCCTGGCGTCAAAACCGCTCACTGCTATTGGTGAATGAGTGTGTCCCTGTCCTCTCTGCTTAAGCCCTCTGTTGAAAGTGGCAACTCCCTATATGAACTCTTTTTCCTTACCACTCTCTTTCTCTGTATCTCCAACTCTTTCTCATTCCCGTGGTGATTTTGATCATCCCCTGGCACTGGGGGGTTGCCCTAGAGCCTGTGTGCCATCTTAGATAGGGAAAGGGGGCAGCCCTCCCACCACCTTGGTCTGGGCCACCATCACTGCGTGTGTGGACTTCTGCAGTTGGTCTCCCTGCTTCAACACTAGCCCCGCTCCATGGTGGCCCGGGGAATTCCGGCAGGGAACTCTTCAGTGGATCCCAGTGTGTCTGGGAATGAAGTTCAGACGCCTTCCAATGCCCCACGTGATCTGGACTTGCCTGCCTCGTCCCCTCACTTAGCTTTACTGCGTTCCCACAGGCAGTTTCTCAAAGCTGAGCCCCTTCCTGCCTCCAGGCTTTCCACACTGCTGTTCCCTCTGCCCAGAATGTTCTTCCCATTCCCCGCCAGTTGTCCAGCCCCATCATTCCTCAGGCCTCAGCTTCAAGGTCTGGTCAGCATGCTGTGTGCGCTCACAAGCTTCTAGCTTTTTTCTCTTACACAGTGCTTCCCATAGCTGGAATCATCCATGCTTAATGCCACTGTTTGCTGTCTTTCCCTCTAAATGGGAAGCCCCCTGAGGACCAGTACCTCATTTGTGGTGTTCACTGTGATGCCCCCAATGCCTGGCTTCTAGTGGGTGCTGGACAGATGTCTCTAGAACAATGGAATGCATTGGTTTGAGGACAGCGCAGTTAACTCCCAGCCCTAGTGGGGAGCAGGGCCAGAATGTGGGGCTGGATGGCATCCCAGTTCCTCCTGCGTTCAGGCCTCACTGGGTGGTTCCATTATGTATTTCACTGAGCTGTGACCTGCCCAAACACCCAGCCCCCACACCCGTCCATTTTCCCACCCAGAGCCTGGGAGGAACGGTTTTTGGATTATTTCACATTTCTGGATTATCCATGAGACATCTCCCCTCCAGTGAGAAGGATCAACAGTTTGACATTTTAAACCCTAAGCAGCTTCTCCCTGGCCTGCTTCAGATCTGAGGTTCTGCTGCTTGCAATGAGATGCATGGGGAATGGAAGGCCGTTTTAATCTTGGCCTGGCTTCATTAGGAAGGAAAAGATACTGCCAAAAAAAAAAAAAAAAAAAAGTTTGCTTCACTGTCTCTGCCATACAGAGCTGTGAGAGCCTAAGGGATTATCAAAGTAAATTTCCTTGAAAAGATAGGGAAACTGAGGCACAGAGAAGGACAAAAGCTTGGTCAAGGGCATGTGGCAAGTTGGTGGCCAATCTGGGAATGATCCTCCCGGAGGCCTTCTGACTCCCGCATGCTGCCCTTTGTCACCTTCAGGCACCAGGGGAGCTGGGGTCTGGCAGAGAGCGGGCAACAAGTTTCCACTGACATGACTTCAGGACCCTGAGTCACCCTGGCCTTGAATGGCCTCCCAGAGCACGGATGGGACTTTCCAGGAGCCCAGCTATTCCTCCAGGAAGAGAAACTCCCAGGAAGCTTCAGTGGCAGCAAAGGTGAAGGGTGAGGGGCGCAGGCATGCCCCCAGCCTGCCCTGCCACCCACTACCACATCTGGGACAACTTTGTGACAGATCTATTGTCCAAAAGCGGGGCCAGTGGCGGCTGTATTTCTGGAGCAGGCTGTTCTTCAAGAAGATGGCTCCTTCCACCTTGTTCTCTTTGATCATTTTGGGGGCATTTTTCTGTATTTTATTTTCCTTTTTTAAAACACCCAATCTTGAGAATACTAAAACTGACTCCAACTAATGAGGTCACAGTACCTGATAAAAACAGTATCGAAACATTTAACACTCTTTAACTGTACTCTCAGAAAAGCCTTTGGCTTCAGGAAAGGGACTGGCTTTTCTAGGGTCAAAATACCTTGCCTGAAGATAGTCTCACTGGTTGCAGGTTTGCAGGGACAGTGGGATCCCAGCACCCCTTCTCCACTTCTGGGTCCCTACCCCATATGCTCCTGGCCACACCTAGCCTATCTCAGGCCAAAGATGTTGGAAAATAGCCTTTGGGGGTACCTTGAGAGGTCAAGGGAAGACACTTTGGGCCATCCTGTGAAGCCCTCGCAGAGTGTGTGACCATGCCATACTGGCCACTCTTGGCCTGGCCCTCACCAGGCTGCCTCTTAGAATCGATGAAGTTCCCAGGGAAATGGGGGTGCCAGCAGGGCTGGTGCTCTGGATAGGCCCTGGGTAGACGACCATCCAACCTGCTCCTCCCTTCACCTGTCTCACACAGGGCAATGTAAATGCCCGCCCTTATCAGTGTATTTCCTGGGAAATACTTCCTATCCAAGACATAGCACGAACAAAGAACTGAAAGCTTGATGAACCAAACTACGGGGACCCATCCAGTGTATAGTCCTCTGGCCATTTCAATTAACAAGACCCCCTGAAAGTCCAAGCCCCTTGCGAGTTCCCAGCCCAAGTACCCCATCTCCTTCTGAGGCTGTCCGCAACAGCGAATCCTCAGTCCCTATGCCCTGCTGTTGGTCCCCAGCCTTGCCCTTAAATCCTGCATCTGCTTCCTGCACTCCATACTTCTGTCCTTGACTAAGCTCTGATGTCCTCTCCCCACCCCCAGGCTTCTGCCCACTGCGCCCGCATCCCCAGACTCACCCAGGAACAAAACCTCGCGGTCCAGTCGGCACTTCAGTTGGCACTACAGGGACGTGACGGTGAATGTGTCCTCAGGGTGAGGTTCCGCCATGGGCCCCAGGAAGCCGCTCTTGGGGCCCCCTCCCAGGCCAGGATGCGCCTGGGGCATAAAGCCTGGGTACCTGTAGGCGGTGTCCTGCAGGGGCAGCAGCGAGTCCCTCGGCACGGGGGACAGGGTCAAGTCACTAAGGAGTGGGCAGCCATAGCCAGCAGCGGCTGCAGCAGGGCCACGGGGTGGGCCAGGGGGCCGGGCCATTTCCAGTGGCTCCTTGTCGGCCTTGGGCGTGGCTGGTGGGCTAGCCAGGTGAGGGGCACTGAGGCACGCGGCCTCCGTCCTGCCCAGGAAGTCAGCCAGCAGCCCTGTACCCACCTTGCCTTCATAGGGCGGGCTGCGGGCAGCCGAGCCTGGAGGGTACCAATATGCTGTGCCCTTGCAGCTGGGGGAATCGTAGTGGGCCTGGCCCAGTGGCAGGTCCCGGCAGCTCAGGTGGGCCTGGGCTGCAGCTGCGTGGCCCAGGCTGGCCCCCTGGAGCCCATGCTTGAGGGGCTCGCAGGCAGCCAGCTTGGTGGGCGGTGGCCGCAGCTCTTCCTTGAAGCCCAGTGTAGGCGAGCAGGTGGGCGAGTATGCCTTCTGCAGGCCAGCGTCGAACACCGTGGGCGGGTGGGCCAGCGGTGGGAAATGCTTGCCATCAAGCTCGGGAGCACCCAGGCTGGGCGAGTCGCAGTGGAAGCCTTGGCCGAAGGTGCCATCGGAAGGCGTGGACGGGTTCATGGAGTAGGGTCCTATGAAGTCACAGGGGTCTCGCTCTCCCACGCCGAAGGCCCTCGACTGTGAGGGCAGTGGTGACATGCTGCTGTCCCCGCTATAGTAGTCCAGGCCTAGGTCAGGACTGTCCTGGAACAGTGGGTTGACCGGCTGTGGCTTGGGGATGAACTTGGCTTTGGCCGCTGCGCCACCCCGCTCCTTCTTGGCTGAGCAGGCCCCACCGCCCCGTCCACCTCGCGGCTGCCGGGGCCCAGTGCTCCGTTTGGATGGGTAGCCTGAGGCAGCGGCAGAGGCGGATGTTGGGAAGCCCAGATGTGAGGCCTCGAACAGGTCCACCTTCTTCCGCCGTCCACGGCCCGGCTTGGAGCTACTCTGAAAGAGGACACTCTGGTTCCAGTTGTAGCCGGGGGCAGATGATGCCTCGTTCCAGTCCATCATCAGTTTCTCCAGGCTGGACAGGCTTGACTGGCCCTCACTACTTGAGGCCTCGCTGTTGGCACGCCGAAACCCGCCGCCACCGACCGGCTGATTGAACTGGGTGCTGTCGGAGGATGACTCGGAGAAGGTCTCCGACACAGCCGTCTGCTGCTTCACCTTCTGTGGTGTGTAGTTGGAGATGTCCAGGATCACGTTGGGCTCGCTGACGTGGCAGTCAAAACTGGGATTGTAGAGCTGACTAAAGGCCTCTGAGGCCCAGTCCAGGCCTCCATAGCCCTGCCGGAAAGGCCACTGAGAAGCCCCCGCAAACTGGCGACAGTTCTCGGGCGAGGGCTGGAAGGAGGAAGAGGAGGAGGAGGCGGCAGAGGCTGCAGAGGTGGCAGAGGCTGTGGTGCCCTTGGGCACCATGTAGCCACCAGGCGAGACTGTGCTGGCCCGGCTGTCACAGCGCAGGGGCGTGGGGGCTGAACCAGAGAAGGGGGCCCCCTCAGAGCTGTTGAAGAAGGAGGCCTTGCTTGGTGGCAGGCAGGGGCCCCCGGTAGGCGGTGGGGCATAGCCGGCGCTGTGGGCGCTGCTGGGTGAGGCAGGGAGGCTGTTGCCACTGCCATAGGCAAAGCTGCAGTCCTTGCTGTTAGCGCAGTCCTGGCCTGTAAAGGGCTTAGCCGGGGCAAATACGCTTTGTCCAGCCCCGTAGCCGCCATACTGGGACAGGTAGGTGTTGGCAGGCGGGTGGGTGGTAGGTGAGCGGGCCACGGCTGAGGGCGGGGGAGCCAGCTTGGGGAAGGTCTCGGCTGCCCGGCAGTCTGAAGTGGCCGGAGTTAGCCCATAGCTCGCTGCCCGTCCTGGTGGGAAGGTCTGGCGCGTGGGCAGGACAGGCTGGAAGGAGGTGTCCGCCCCAGCCCCACCACTACCCACTGCCACTGGGCTGGCCTTGGCTCCCCGGCTAGGGAAGGTGGCAAGGCCCCGCTGGGCAGGTAGGGCGCTGGTGGGTGGCCCTGCATAGGTGCCTGATGCCTTCCGGGACTCTGGGCGAGAGGCTGAGAGGGCAAAGTCCAAGAGATCGGAGGAGTCATCCGAATCGAGCAGCGAGCGAAAGTAGCCGGTGAAGAGGTTTTGGCGCTCCTGGCTGAGCTCGGTCTGGCCTGAGGGTGCGCCCGTGCTGTAGTAGCTGCCACGGCCTGAGGCTCCGCTCTCCAGCCCAGTGGAGGCAAAGGCCCGGGCCTCGGTCCCCTGAAACCCACAGTTTCGGCCAGCTTGCCCGCCTGGGTGCCCATGGTGAGGGGCCCAGCCACCACCCTTATCTCCAGCCCACTCGGCACCCGCCTCCCCAAAGCCTGGGCCACTGGGCACCTGCTCTGGGAACAGAGTCCCATTCTTCCGGGACCGTCTCTTGCGCTTTGGCTTCCCAGTCACAGCGTCTACCTCCCCCCGGCCCCGTTTGCGTGGGTGCCCCAACTCGGTAAGGCCAGGGCCCCCCACCCCAGCGGCTGCCACGGCCACCACCTTCTTTTTCTTGCCAATGCCCTCAAAGAAGTCACTGAAGGAGCATCGGGCTGACTTGGCCGCATGGCCCCCACCCCGGCCACCAAAACCACCTGCTTTGCCCCCACGCCGCCGGAAGCCCTGCACACGATGCAGGAAGTGGGAGATGCTCTGGGTGTCAGGGGCCTGGTGCACTGACTCCGGCTCACTGGGTGTCCAGCAGCGGGGTGGCGAGCACCGTCCAGCGCACTGGCTCTGGCGGTTCAGAAAGGCCAGCTTGGCCAGGACGTCTGAGTACTCAGCCTTGCTGTCGTTGGCATCTGCCGCATAGGACGGTTGGGGAGACGCCAGCTTCTGCTTCCGCCGCCGTCGTTTCTTCACCTCTGGCATGGCCATGGTGGCTGCTGCCACAGTGGCTGCCTCGGCCGCCACCACAGCTGGCTCCTTGGGCTTGCCAGGACCCAGCAGCAGGTTCTTAGGAGGGCGGCCGCGCTTACGCTTAAGAATAATGGGCATCTCACCGGGTGGGAAGACCACTACCACGTTCCGCCCGTTGTTCTTCATCTTCAGCAGCGGGGTGGGCTCAGCTGACACACGCAGGCCTAGCTCCTTGCCCTCCACACTCAGGCTGCTGCTCAAGGAAGACACTTTGTATGTGGTCTTGTTCCGTCGCCCGAGCGATACGGGGATCTTGGCCATCTTCACCACCATGCGCCGCACGCCTCGGCACTTGCCTTTGCGGGTAGAGACCACTGGGGTCTGGGAAGATTCTGGCTTCAATTCTGGGGCTGAGACCAGGCCTGGGCCTGGCAGGGCAGGGGGTGGAGGCGGCGGTGGCGGTGGGGGTTCGGCCAGGGCGGCTGCCAGCCCCGTGGGCATAGGCAGGGGCAGTAGGCGGCCCTCAGGTCCGGCGTCCGCCTTGCGCCCCCGTCCGGCTTTCCGCCGGCGACACAGGATCTTTGGCCTATCAGTACGCCGCAAGGCGTACTTGGGGTGACCCTCAGGCCCGGGGGGGCCGTGCGGTGAGCACAAGTCCAGGCGCAAGGGCTCGGCCAGTGGGCAGTGCCCCAGGGGCTGCTGGGGCTCCAGACGGCGACCTGGGACGTCAAGCAGCTTGGGCAGGGGGTCGAGTGCCTGGGGGTCAAGCAGCTGCGACTCCAAGGAGTCAGGCAGGGTGTCCAGGGCCTGGAGAGCCAGGCCCGGCAGCCCCAGAGGATCAGCAAGAGGTTGCAGGGGTGGCAGCTCCAGAGCTTCCCCGAGCGGCTCTAGTGCCTGCGGGTCCAGGAAGCGGGGCTGGGGGTCCAGGAGCTGAGGCTCTGGCTCAGGAGATGGTGGCTCGAGGGCCTGGGCCTCTAGCAGCTGGGCCTCTGGGCAAGTGAGGGAGGCCAGCTCACTAAGGATGTCAGCGTCAGCAAGTTCTGAGTAATCAGTGCTGTCTGGCTCAGGCT